CTGTGGCTTGGGGGGCACTTTTTTCAGTGACATTGTAACTTCAAACAGTCACTAAGCGAACTGTTGTAAGTTGAGGACTACCTGCACTTTATCACTTTTTTCCTTCTTTTTTTTTTTTGGTCATCAAGTTTTTGACACCTTGCTAGGCGACAGGTGGTACTCGGACGTTGCCATATCCTAAAAGTGGTACCATGAGTGAACAGGTTGAAAAGCCCTGGGCTAGATGACCTCCAAGGTCCCTTCCCACTCTTATTATTCTACGTTCTCTCCCTCTCTTCGGCCCGCGCTGCTTTTCTCCTGGGTCTTCTCTCGGAGATCCAACGGCGGGGCCGGCCTCTCCTCGACCTCCGCTTCCCACCAGAAAGCGCGCACCGGGGCGGGGGGAAGGATTCCGCGTCAGCTTTTCGTCGAGCGCCTCCGCCGCCCAGCCTCGCTCCCCCTGCGGGCCAAGGAAGGACAACAAGCCGAAGATGGCGGTTCTTCCAGCCTCTGCAGCGGCGGCGGCAGCGGCGGCTTCCGAGCAGGTCGGTAGGCAACGGGGGAAGGAGGGAATTCGGGAAGCCGCCGCGGGAAAAGAAGGGCGCGGCGGCGCTTTTCTTGCGCTTTGGCAACCTGGCGCAAAGCAGAGGTGGCCGTGGCTGGGGCTAGTCTTCCGTCCGCCCCCCTCCCTCCCTTGGGACTAAGTGGCGGTTCCGAGCTCTCCCCGGGTCTCGCAGCAGCTGGAGAAGGGCGGCTGGGAGCCGTCCGACCGAGCCCGTCGGCGGCCGGAGGGGCGAGAAAAGCTCGCCTCGGCGGCGCCATAGCCAAGCGCCTCTCTTTTTTTTTGGAGACAGTCCTCGCCTCCTCGCCCGTTATATTTGCGCTTTCGGAAGGAATCCTTAAAATATCTCTTCCCCCCCCCAAATAAAATAAAATAAAATAAAATAAAATAAAGCATGCGCTTGGGTGGATTTGCACGCTGGCTGGCTGGCGGCTCCCTTGCTCTGGAGAACCACGCCCGGAGCCGCGTCCCAGAGGGAGATTCCTGCCCAAGTAAGCGCGCGCCCGGCCCCCCGCGCAAAGCAAAAATAGACCGCTACGAGGGGCAGCCTCTCGCCGGCGCCCGGCGGGTCGCGACCGGGGCTTGTTGCTCCTGGGCTGCCTGGAACAAGGACGCCGAGGCTGGAGGAGATGTGGGGGGAAAAACCCGGGGCGGCCCAAACGGAGCGCCGCGCGGGGATTGGGGAGGACGGAAAGGGCCGACGAGCTTGGCAAAAAAACGAGAAGGCCGACCTAGAATAACGCTCCCTTTTAAAGGCGTTGTCTGTCTGTCTGTCTGTGTGTGTGTGTGTGTAAAGATTTCCTTGTCACTACATTAAAAAATAATAAGAATAAAAAAATTTAGGGTTGCCAGGTATCCACTATTTGAGCGGACAGTCCGCTTTTTTCACATTATGTTCACTATTTTTTTTCACAAAATAGTGGACATTTTTTTATTCAAACGCTTTATGATGAAATGGTACGTAATCTAAAGCTGTACAGTCTACTTTTTTTACTACTTAACCCCCCCCTCGCTTGTCCGCTATTTTTTGGAAGCAGACCTGGCAACCCTAAGAATAATATTTATGGTTGAAGGTACGATTTTTTTTTATAAAGTTTTATTGAGTTTTATGAGGTTAGGGGAGGGATGGGGTCAGTATAGGAGTTAAGGTTCGGGGTTGGGGATCAGGATTGGGATTGGGACAGGGATGGGAACAATGGGGTTACCCCCCCCCATTAACATTTTCAAGCTTTAGCAAACAGACTATTGTCCGGGTACACATATTGAATAACACTAATTAATATAATAGTCAATAGTTATAATAAATATGAGAAACGATAATCATAGTGTCAATTAGTCAATATGTATCCTTCATCTTACTAGTATATATTCACCATAACATATCACATTCATTTCTCACTAGTTCATTTTGCTAACCATTGGTAAAAATGATCCCATGTTTTGGAAGTAAACTGAATCCTCTTTCTCTTTAATCTCGAAAAATTAATCTATCCATTTCAGCACATTCTAAAATTTTCTTAATTAGGATCTCTTCAGTTGGTAAATTTTCATTTTTCCGGTATTGGGCAAATGCTATTCTTGCTGCTGTCAATTTATGCAATATTAAATTAAAATGGCTGTAATTCCTCAATGGGTAATGCAACACTTTTGTCAAATCCCTTGAATTAAAGCTGAAAGTCTTAATTTTGCTCACGTCTTGAGTGTTTCATTTCAAATTCAACGTGGTGGTGTACAGAGGCCAAATGCAAAAAAAGAGTATCCCAATATATATGAACCTGACTGTATATATATCCCAGCAGGAAAGTACAGAGAGTCCTTGACTGGGCACTTAGCAACCATTTGAATTTATGACTGACACCCCCACCCCCCCAAAAGCTACTTATGATCCAGTTTCAAAATCCTGACATTGTCCTTCCCCCATGGTCATGTGACTGTATTTAGGACAGTTTTGCCAGAAATTGTTTTTTTTTTTAAATAAAAACTGCCCTATGGCACACAATGGGTTCTGGTGTTCGTTTAAGAATCATGACGATCGCTTTATGATCACTGAAAAAAATGGTTATAAAATGAGGTCCGATGATGTGGTGATCTATTTTATGACTTAACAACTGAAAATTATGGTTGTCATTCAAGGACTACCTATTCCGTAATGACCACTGAAGTATTTTTCAACTTCTGCGCCCGTTCTCCAGAATGTAATCATTTTGTAAATAAAATAAATGATATACTCTGTGTGTAGATGCTTTCTGATCGTTTTTAAATGTTTTTAAGTATTAGTGAGCTGTTCTTTTTACGATCATCATATTACGGCAGAAATGAAATATTGTCTAATCCGGTTTCCATATGATGTGTTTGGCTGAAATTTTAGCAAAGCTCAAATGGCCCCGTGAAGAAATCGATGCGAGAAAAAGCCGTGGAACGCAGAAATATTAACAAAGAACATAACAGTAACTTCAAGGCGGGGTACATACCGATTGATGAAGGCCGTCTACACAAAACAGGCTTGCGAGGCAGAAAAGGCAACTTGGCTATTTGTGTGCTGGTCCTCCTTTTTATCTTGGCTGTTGTTAATTTAATTGTAAGTATAACAATCTATAAAATGCATCTTACCTGATTCAGTTAGAACTCCCTTTCTTCTATTGCCCTCAATCTTTCCCAGTATTAGACCCTTCTCCAGTGAGTCCTTCCTTCTCATTAGGTGGCCAAAGTACTTGAGTTTCAACTTCAGGATCTGGCCTTCTAAAGAGCAGTCGGGGTTGATCTCCTCTAGGACTGACCGGTTTGATCGCCTTGCAGTCCAGGGGACTCGCAGGAGTCTTCTCCAGCACCATAGTTCAAAGGCCTCAATTCTTTGGCACTCAGCCTTTCTTATGGTCCAACTTTCGCAGCCATACATTGCAACTGGGAAAACCATGGCCTTGACTATACGTACTTTTGTTGGCAGGGTGATGTCTGTTGTTACTATTCAGAGTAACTGATGGTATGTAATTAATCCCAGTTACCAACACTTACTGGCCAGAGCATAGAAACCTAGCCTTTGCACCTAATATGCGACATATGACTTACACTTTGATGAGGCTTGTGCAAAAGTGTAGATTGTACGAATAATTGTTTGATTCTTGCTCCATGCTCTTCAGGCTGCTTCTCATTTGTGCATTTAAAGTTGTCAAGTATTTGAAAATTGCATGCAAGTTGTTTGCAATCCTGGCTAGAAAAACGGGGGATATTTTGACTCTGGTATTTTTTTCCCCAAATGTGGTGCCTTTCAGATATTTTGAGGCTGCAGTTCTCAAAATACTCATCCAATATAGATGGGGAATTCGAGGAACTCTTAAACTATATTCCGTAGAACATTTCTGTGCTCCAAATAACTTGAAAGTGAACTGGTCCCACTTGACTGCTTGCACACCACTCAAAACATACTATTAAATCATTATTTGATATTTTAAGTGCTGTTTAATCTCAGGCTATGTTTCAGATTGCACATGTAAGATTATTTGCAAAAAAAGAAAAAAACAGGAACTCCAGATCTACTGCATAAAGTTCATGCCCAGTGGGATGTTGCCAAATGAAAAAAAAACAACTATTATGAACAGCCAGCAAAATTTTGTAAAACCCAATGCTCTTATTTCACAGCTGTTTGTCAGTTTGCAGGATTCACACAGGATTTACAAAGACAACTCTTCTATTACATGACTATTTTTGATTTTGGTACTGTATCAAGAGGCGGGATATTATAGAGAAAGGTATAGTTTCCCCCCCCCCATCAGGTGAAAATTAACTGACCCTTCTTCTGAGGCATAGATTATAACATGAAATTGTATGATCTTGCTAATATATTCTAGATTTTAAATATAGGGTCATAGAAAACTTTAGAAAAACTAAGATTTTACAAGCCGAATAAGTAACTAATATCTATGAAGTAAGAGTGATGTTCGCAGATGTTCCTCAGAGACATTTTGACCCAATTACGGTAATCTCTAATAGATTTTTGAAAGAACATGCACAGAAAAAGCAAAAAAGAATATATAAGGTTAATTATAATGCCCGTTTCAAGACTTCAAAACAATCACATCCAAACAGGTAGTCCAGAATTTCATCTAGAACAGAGGTCCCCAAACTTTTGGGCACCAGGGACCGGTTCTGTGGAGAAAATTTTTTCCACGGTTTTGTGCATGGTTTTGTGTGCTGCCTGCATCCCACGGATGAGGCTTTGTGTGGCCCAGTTGCTGGCATGCTGCGGCCCGGTACCGGTCCACGGACAGGGGGTTGGGGACCCCTGATCTAGAACATTTACATCTCATTGATAGCTAAAATATTGGATGCAAGAAGGGAAAAAAAATATATCATGTTTTAAATATATCTTTTATTTTTCATTTTATAAAAGAAAGAATCTTAGCCACTCCTCATATGGGTAGTCCTTGACTTATGACCACAATTGAGCCCAAAATTTCTGTTGCTAAGCGAGACAGCTATTAAGTGAATTTTGCCCCATTTTACGACTTTTCTTGACACAATTGTTAAGTGAACCACTGCAGTTGTTAAGTTAGTAACACGGTTGTTAAGTGAATCTGGCTTTCCCCTTGATTTTGCTTGTCAGAAGGTCGCAAAAAGTAATCACATGACTCCGGGACCGTCGTAAATACAGGCCAGTTATCAAGCATCCCGAACTTGATTACCTGACCACAGGGGGGCGCTGCAATGTTCATAAGTGTGTAAAACGATCATAAGTCACTTTTTTCAGTGGCCTTGTAACACTGGCCACTAAACGAATGGTTATAAGTAGAGGACATTGTTCCCTATACTGCTATAGGCAGCTGCCTTTCATGGACATCATTCAAGCTTGCTGTAGCACAAACATTTCTCAAAAGTTTTTGAGAAGGCCAAAATGGCTCAGAGGTGAATTGGTTTTCCAACCAAAATTAATCTTTCAGAACCGTAACAAGCAATGTTTACTTTTTTTTTTTTTAGATCACCTTCATAATTTGGACCGTAATTCGCATTGGACCCAATGGCTGTGATAGCATGGAATTTCACGATAGCGGATTACTGCGGTTTAAACAAGATTCTGATATGGGGATTATACATCCACTGTATAAGAGCACAGTAGGAGGTCGACGGAACGAAGATTTGGTGATTGTGGGAGAAAATCAGCCAGTAAGTGTCCGCCTCCTGGCATATGATGTTCAGTATCTGAGGTTTGGCTTCATATTATCTTGCTGAATGGCTGGAATCTAACCAAGAGGAAAATCTTCTTAATCAATATTCTTGTGGCATACCCTCCCCTCAGGAGACCCTTATACTGCTACTATCACATTATTGTCCAAAGCACCAGAGGCCAGGACAAGAAACAATGGTTGGAAACTGAACAAAGAGAGAAGTAACCTGGAATTAAGGAGAAATTTCCTGACAGTGAGGGCAATTAACCAGTGGAACAGCTTGCCCCCAGAAATCGTGGGCGCTCCATCACTGGAGATTTTTAAGAAGTGGCTAGAGACAGTCACTTGTCTGAAAT